ATCGGGTACACTACAGCATCTCTCCGCTAGAAATTGTGCAACCTCTTTCGGTGCTGTGGAGACAAAAGTGGTGCTTTGCTGAGGTGCATGATGTTTACAACAGTTCGCAGTAGGTGCGTACTGTTCGCGGCGGGTTCAGCATCGAAAGCAGTTGAACAGTGGAGTAAAGGTACTCGATGTCCAATCAGTACCGTGATTGTGATCGGAATAGAATACGTGCCAACGTGTGCGGAGGAATTGCGTGACCTTCTTGAGCAGGAGATTGTGTCGTGTTCCCTCCCGAACTTCTTCAGCTGTCACTGGTGTATTGCGTAGAGAAGCGGTAATGAGAAAATTGACGTCTGTTTCTATCGATATCGAAGCAATGGCTCTTCCTCCTGGTCTTAGAGAGTTGATGAGCCTTGACAGCACATCTGTTTGACCAAATGATGTAGTCGACTGATAGCGGATCTAAAAACCGTAGCTGAGACGGATGAGGGCGCAACGTTGAATGCGGTTGGCGGTATAGAGTGGAATTCCCCTGTTGCAGCCAAAAATTGCTATCAGTAGCTTATGATTGTTAAGGTGCATCGTGGATTATATACTATATCTTAAACTATCAAACATTCATTTGTAACTTACATCTCCAAGTGTTTTTTGATTATAGATAATGAACTGGAGGCAAAGCTAACGGAAGCATTTGATCTTTTCGATCACGAAAGAAATAAAACCATTGATTTTCGTGAACTGGGAACCGTTATTCGAGCGGTTGGTGGTGTGCCTACCGAAGCTGAAGTATTACAGCTTGTGCGGCAGGTGAGACACAAGAGACACAGTGTACCGAGAACAATTTGCAGCTAGAAAATGACCCGCCAAATGGATATATAAATTTTGAAAAATTTTTGCCAGTTATGATGGAGGCTTTGGAACAGAATAGGTAATCAGCCATGAATCACAGTACCCTTATTTTCTTTAAAAGATTTCAGGGTGCGAGCGAAGAGGAAATACTGCGAGCATTATCGGTGCTTGATACTGAGAAAAAGGGTTATTTAACTGCATCCGTTATGGAAACCCTCATGAGCACGGAAGGTAGATGAAACGCTCGTATCCAAATGCGTGAATTAATATGAATCTAGGTGAACCATTCACGGTGGATGAAGTCGAAGAAATGCTCGCAGCCGCCACGGATACAACGAAAGGCAAAATCGTTTGTCGCGAATATGCTATTTTACTGACAACATACAATGATGAACTCTTTTAAAAACANCTGTGATTCGTCTGGAAATTTGTGCAAGATGACTGCACCAACTTTGATATTTGAAGCGTCGGTTGCCACGATGATATCAAGTGCCGAGTCGAAGTGTCAGAAGCACGTCTGAGTCGAACATTGACTTGCTACAATCGAAGGTGTTCTGGCACTCCGCAAGTCAATGCCGTAGTTGGTGTTTGAATGAAGTTGGTTCATTAAGATTGGACGCGAAGCATTCCAGGGATAAATGCACTGTAGTGACTTACGAGGCCCAAAAATGATCTGAGTGTAGCCAAATACTTTGGAGGTGGGATATTCTGAATTGCTTTAATGTTCTGTGGATCTATACACAGGCACCTGTGTACAGAATGAAACAGAGACAATTTATGGAATGCATGAACAAGTCAGGTTTATCTTCTCGGATTCTGAAACCATAATCTTCAATCCGTTTCAGCACTGTATTCAGTCGGCTAAGCAGTACTTGTGTGCGACCCATAACAATGATATCATGCATGTATTCTCCAGTTCCCATGATACTATCGTGTCCCTCAGCTGCTGAAAAACTGCTGGCGCAGTTCAGTTCAATTCAGTTTGTACCACCATTAACCATGCACCTTCGTGTGCCGGGTTTTAGCTGCTGTCTTTTGGCTGTCCATTTGGATGAAGAATAGGAGAAAGACAAGAAAGTTGATAGTGGAACCGAAGAAAAAAACCGGAAATTTCATTGGATTAATGTTGCAAAGAAATTGAGAAGATGCGCGAACGCCACTGTGTATGACACCCAGGCATATCGCGCAGTATCCCCAACCACTGATTACAATTTTTCCCACGTCCATGGAGCCTAACAGGACCTATATGACCCAGACTCTTGGTTAAGGTTATCATAGCCTCATGCCAGGTCTTAGCTCGCCCATGACATCTGGGATTGATCCGTAATTGAATGAATTAAAAATAAATTAATTTTTCTTTATTAAAGGTGGAAATTTGCGATCGCTTGGAACACGTCTTTGACCTGCAAACCGGGATTAGGTGCACATAAAATTCCAGATAAAATTTTCTCCAATAAGCATTATTCTACCCATTGACTGCGAGGAAGATCTCGGTGCCTTGTACGACAAGATAAAGAGCAAAGAAGTCTACAAAACATTCGTAAATTTCTGTTTAGGTTTTGCGCACACATTTGTCGAATCGTATAAGTTGCTGTGCATTTTATTGTTACAAGTGGGTTATCTGATCCCAAGTGGGGGTGACGTAATGTGGGATTACATACGNCTGATAGTCACACGCGCTTTTACCCCGAAAAATGTGTAAAACATTGAATTGGAATGGCATCCGCGGAAAACGCACTGTCGTCATCATGCATAGCGGATGCGATCATGGATAAGTGCAAATACTGATATGTTTTTGTTACTTGAGGTCGTTCTTGCGAATATCCGAGAAGTTGGTAATTGATACTCAATTATAGAAATCAAGTATGGAGGTCACATTACAACTTCTCTGAAATAGACTAATATTCCTTTGTATTTTAATTTTCCAGATACCGTGTACCACTATCAGTTCAATGAACATAACTACCAGGAAAGAATTCTTTCTTGCTAGTTATTTTTGTTAACAAGAATGCTGAATAAACTTATGCATAAACATAGACAATTTCGATTTTTATATATAACATGTTCTTATA